GGGGGGGGCGAATATTTCACATACAAAATAAAATATAATATGTGGGCCAGCGCGCAAATAACTTACATGAAACAGTTATGTTAAATACAACTTTGTAATCAATTGATAAATTGATTCAGAAGAATTGCTCTGATAACCGAGTAAATTATAAGGCCATATTGCCATAAAGATGCCTATACAAATTGACAATTGTCGACTACCCGTTGATCACGGCACTCGACGTGTTAAAATTAGTTTTGATTCTTTTTACTGGGCATTTTTCCTAAACGAAATACAGCTTACGAGGGGGGGGGTGCCCCCTGCGCTCCCCTACTGAATCCGCGACTGTAAGTGGGATTATCCATTTTTTWAATTTTATATATTTATAATATTTGAACATATTTTTTTTAATCATAAGACATCTCAATATTTACTTCCCTAAACATTATATTAGGTATGTTCCTTGCTATAGTAATAAAAGTGAAAATAAAGGACAGCATACATTACAAATAATAATCTAATTTTAAAATTTTCGAGGATGCAAAGACAAAAGTATTTACCTGAAATTTTGGATAATAAATATAATGTAATGAAAACACCGGCAGGTTTCTTCATTTTTGTTTTACTGTTAAAATTATATATGAGAAGTTCTATTCTAACAACGCGTTTACACGTTTTCACACGAGCTGTGAATAAAACAATAAGAATAATACCTATGTTAACGCCTGATTTATGTGATAATCCAGGGATATTTAAATGATAACTAACCAAATAATTTAATTCTATAACGAGAGCAACTGCCAACTATTATACATTAATTGCTGATTTTTAAATACAATTTTGTAAATGTGCTTAAATATAATTGATTTTATATCATATTACCTATGTTAAAATGTTTAGTTACTGTGACATAGCAGGTAGCTGATAGGTATATCTTATATAAGATAAAAGAGTACATGTCTATTTTTTATTATAATCTATTATTTTGTACTGAAGTTACATTACTAAAAAAAATTTTAAATCAAAATAAAATAAAATAATTTTTATAATTAAAAAGGAGAATTAAGCTGACAACTATGAGTTTATTAAAAACAGTATAAATAGACAATTGTATAATATATCATAACAATTAATATATTATTGGTCAAATTATGTCATTAATAATAAGTATATTATTGTTCAGTTTCGTTGGCGATAAGAAAATGTTTCGTCTGAGCTCTGAGCACTGAGCTCAAACATATTAATAATAATTAATATTGTAGTCGTTATGTCATTATGTTATATTATGATAAAAATTGAAAACAAAGACATTCAAGATTTTTTTCGTCTCCATTTTACGGTGTATTCGTTATGAAGTATTAAAGTGTTGCCATAATGATTTATTATTATTTATTATTTATTATTTACTATACAATTATTAAAGTGATAAAACTATTTGAACGTTGGAGAGGTTTTAAACAAAACTAAAAGAAGTTACAGTTGTTTGAGCTAAGTTATTTTGAATTCTAACAATTTCTGGTGAATTCACAGGCACTTTTTTTTTAACCAGAATAGCTTTTTTCTTAAAAAATTAATTCTTGGTAGTATTCAAATGCTATCGTTATGGAAGATCTAATATTAGGTTTTTCCATATCAGAGTTGTAATTTTTATATAATTAAAACGAACAGTGGTGTAATTTGGTTATGTTTATGAGTGTGGTGTGTGTGTTAGGGGGGGGGGTGAATTGTTGATTATACATTTTACCTATCACCCACCCCTAAAAAAAAAACGTATGTGACACGGAAACAAATAATTAAAGAATATTCACAATACAAATAGATATTATACTTCAAGACTATTGTATTAATTCTATATAGACTATATAAAGTATACAGGGTCTCTTAGAAAGATCTGACAGAAAAAAAATTATGCTAATTAAACGTATGACAAAAATTGTTAATATTATATGATAAGTGAATAATTTAAGAAATATACTTATATTATCAAAATTATAAATAATAAAATTTAAATTTCAAATGCTCATAAAAATTTAATTTGAATTTCCGGTGGACTTTTTATTTGTGATAAAGATGGAAAAACTTGTAAGGAATCTTGTATTAAATTTTCAAATCTTAGATTTAAAAAGAAATTTTTTTATGAATTTCTAGTTTAAAATAATTTGTRAATTTTTAATTATTTTTTAACTTTAAAATCTTATTTTTGTTCACATATAAAATGTATATTATTTGTTTCATTATTTTATAAAATACATTTTATCGATTCTCAGTTTTCTAGTTGTTATTTTATGACTGTCACCCCCCCCCTCCAGGTTTTGACAGATGAGTGCCCTTGAGTGAAATTTTCATTAAGCTTAACTCCCATCTCATCTTGTTTAAATTGCAGTGTTCTAAAAATACTAAATAGTAAATATATTCTCAACATGTAATTTAATAAATGTCCAGTTTGATATGGAATACCATATTATAGGCAGCTATTATTTAAATATTTTGAATTAAAATTTTTAAGCTACCAACATCGAACATGTAAAAACATTAATTATACAAATGGTTAGGGTCAAAATATTGAAAAATTCAATATAGAATACACAAACAATCCCAAAAATCCACTAAAATCCTTATAAATGCATTAAAAAAGTATTAAAAACTAAGTAAAAAATGCTCTGTAAATATACTTCAAATCATTTAAAAAAATGTAAACAAGTAGGAACATCTCTCTTGTACAGTAGATTTCAGTTAAGTATACCTAATAGATGTGTTAAATTTGAATACAGTGATGAAAGTAATAATAAATATATAATTTTTGATATTGCAATTAAATTAATGTAATTTATTTTATTATTAAAGTTTTTACAATACTATGGTTCATAAGATTAATAAGATTTTTACCAAAAACATTACATTTATTATATTATGAATATATTATATGTATAGTAGGACTAGTAGGTATAATACGAGTATAATATGTAATATTTAAATTGAATATTGTTATTAACTTATGAAAAAAAAAAAAAAAAATTATAAAAAATTGGAAATTCTATGAAAAAACAGTTTTTGCTAAATTGGTGTAAATCCAACTGAAGATTCTAACATTTGACGTAATCTTTCATCCTTCTAAAGCCAGTCAAAATATGCAAAACCTAAACTCTGCTCTCTACTTGTAACTAATTATTGTAACTATAGTCTATATTTAACCAAAAGAGTATTAAAGACTTAATTTCAGATACATTAAAACTTATAGTATAATGTAAGCTTAACTTTAAACAAAATTTGAGGCTATAAAATGTTGACTATAGCCTATAGGTACTGTTTACATTTATTTAGTAATTTAGAGTAATTTATTAGTTGTCATTTACTTACATATATAAATTATAATTATGTTATTCATTCGAAATMTTATGGTACAACAGAGAACTCTGTTGATTAAGTTMAAAGGGACACCCCAAGGGATTGTTTAAACATTGGTACCACTGTGGTCCCAGCTGTTATCTGGAATTTAATTTTCTCAGAGGAGTCCATCATCGTTTTCATTCGTAGAGTTTCATAATTTTATCCCTGCACGGCGGACCATACATTYGATACACTTAAAACTACAATTCTAGGCCAAAATATGATCACCTCAAGGGGACTTCAACTAATGAGAAACTTTTCAACGACAGCAGTTCGAAATAGTCATGCATATGGTGGACCTGGATCTAATTTGCCATTTGATGTATATAGCAAGTATAAATTTACAGCTTTACTAGCAATATATTTCAGTACTGGGTTCGGACTTCCATTTCTGATGGTCCGGTTCGTTAAACACAGGGCATTATAAAAGATCCAAGAAAACTAAATGTAATAGACAATGTAGTTTGTTTATGAAAAAAAAAAATGTTAACACTAGTCAGTAGTTTTAAGTATTGTATTTTTACGTTTTGTTTGTACTTTTTAATAATTTCTTCTTTAATAATTGTCAACCGAAACAAATTGTACTTAATAATTTTGTTAAATAAAATAATTAAGAGAATTAATTTGTTTACAATATTATTTATTTATATGTTTTAAATAAAATAACAAATGCACTTATCACATATTACCTATTGTTTATTATTTTTTAATGTTGTATTTATTTGAAAAACAAGGTAATATATAAATTTACTCTTAATGTTGTTTTTTTAGTTAATGAATTTAAAAATCTTTCAAGAATAAATTGAGTATTACAAAAATAAATATATTTTAATGGAAAAAAATTAAATGATTACTAAAGTACATAATACAAGTTTCACGTTTAATTATAGAACGGATTATATGTAATCCAATGAGCTCGAGTTTGATTTTTGTCGTCCTCATGACTTGTGAATAAAGATTTATATACATTGGTTGCTGTTTTGTCTTTAGAAATACTATGTGCAAGTTTTGCTTTTTTATACACAGGATCTTCTAATTTCCGGCAGTTAGCAGAGCCGACGGAGGAACTTGATCCCGCAGCACTAGTGATTGGTCCTAAATCAAATTTAACATAGTTAATATTAATAACTTAAATAACAATAAATTATGATAAAAATTGTCATACTTTTTATTTGTTCCTTTTTTATTTCATTCTTAATGTCAATTTTTTCAGTTTTTACAGGTAAAAATGATGGAATAATTGGTTTTTCATCTTTATCAACTGGTTCATCTTTAATTACAATTTCTTGCTTGACTTTAATTTTTTCAGAATTTTTTTCACTCTTAATCTTATCTTTGCGTTTGGCTAATTTAGTCTTCATCAAAGTTATATCTTCTTCGATCGGATTTAATACAACTATGTCATCATCCTCATATTCCTTTACACAATTGACACACTTGTTATCAGCATTCAGCTTGAGACCTCTTTCAGAAATAACACATCCACATTTCCATAAGAAACAGAATTTAGATCTGTCGTTCATTTCAAGACCAACTAGAGGGCATATGTAAGGTGAACAATTRTCATCAATATATCCTCCAACACTTTGAGCTTTTTTGTTGAATGCTGGATTAGAGGTCAATTTTAATACTTTTATATCCTACAAATAAATAAATTCAATTTTAATGATTAAACATATATTAATCAAAAAATAAACCAATTTACTTTTAAGCCCTTGATGTGTGCGGAAGCTTCAGGAAATGGAGTTTTATTTATTAAATGCTGCAACACTGATTCTTTATTGTACAAGAGACCCATGCCACAAGCGACTATTGGTGGTCGAAGTGGTTCTTGAGTCAAATGACAATTACGCCAACGGTACAGTTGCACAGATGATTTATCTTTCTAAATTGTAAAAACAAAACATAAAAAATATAATTCAAATTAAACTATTGTAAGTAGGTAAAAAATAAATTATTTCATTGTATCTTTTTAATTTTAATTTAAGGCCTTATTCTAACTTTTTCAGGAACATAAACTACTATAAGAAATTATAAGAAATATAACCACAAACCCTTCTC